TCTTCGTATGATCTAATATGGTCTCCAAATTTTCGATAAAGAAATAGCATTATCTTTTCTTTATCGGTTAATATTTAAAAAAAAGAGAAATTTAAAATTATAGTTGGAAAAAGAAAAGGAAAAAACAAAGAGTAAGATGCGAGAGAGCACGACTCGTTTTTAAAATACAAAGATCGAGAAGCGTTATCGTGAAGCGCGGGTATGCGCGAGTTTTGACTGAGTACGTGTGATATTACGTCGTGAATGAATAACCGTGTTCGATGAGAGCGAATGAACAACTAAGCCGGGCATATCGTCTAGCTCGAAACACGAAAAACAAAGTTATTCTTGTTTTTCTCCTGTGTTTATGTTTTTTAGGCTCCCAGCCTAGTTGTTTATTCGCTCGCATCAAACGCGGTTTTTCATTCACGACGTAATATCACACGTACTCAGTCAAAACTCGCGCATACCCGCGCTTCACAATAACGCTTCTCGATCTTTGTATTTTAAAAACGAGTCGTGCTCTCTCGCATCTTACTCTTTGTTTTTTCCTTTTCTTTTTCCAACTATAATTTTAAATTTCTCTTTTTTTTAAATATTAACCGATAAAGAAAAGATAATGCTATTTCTTTATCGAAAATTTGGAGACCATATTAGATCATACGAAGAAGTAACTGATCTACTCATTCAATGCTGCATATCCTGATCGCAATTTTTACCATATTTTTTATCATTCTAACTGATTGTATTAGTTCATCAGTATAATAAATTATGAAATGAGACATGCGAAAATAAAACATACTCATTTCATCATTTCACATACTATTTCATCATTTCAGCATTTATTATACGATTATTTATTAATCATTAGTGCGGGAAGGATACTTTTTGAACTTTACAAGTGTGTTCAAGCAATCTCAAACGCTCCTTTGCCTACATTTATCTTTATTTAGAAATGGCACGCCACTTTCATCAGTATGTCATTCCTCACTTCTGTCACAAATTCATATGCAACGACGACCTTGCAGTTTGCGACGCGGATTCGAGGATCATTCAGCTCCGGATTTAAGATACACAAGAGAATCTCTGAAATCTCTCGAGATTCTCTTCAGGATAACGATCTTCGTCTTGCAATGCAGCAAAACGTGAAAAATTCTACATAAAATTGTACACTCGATATTCGCGATATGTTTATAACATTCGATGACTTTGAGCGTGATTTAGTACAATTGAACACGACTCAGTTTATATGTAAATTCAGTTCTTAACAGGAAATGATGAGGAGAAAGTGACTCGCTTCTGATGGTAATAGTGGTAATGGTAATGAGGTTCTCGGGGTCATAAGGCGAATCATTCATAAGAACGATTAAGCCGCCGTTGCTAACCAACTAGTTCTTTTCCGATCTTCCAAAGGAACGAGTGAATCGCAGGTAATACACTTGCTCTGCACGTCAAAAAACATGTTTTCCTCCGCAGATTTCAGCAATTTTCGTCTCGCTCGCCTTTTCTCGCGCTTGTCCGATAAAGTAATATTCGATGTTTTTCGAAGGTCGTTCATAATTTTCTTCGTTTCACCGGCCGCCGTCAGAAAAAGTTTCTCGTAATATCACACGAGTAGTCACGTCGTAGCATTGGTCGAAGAAGTTTCAATAGCATAAGCGGTATTGCGCTCGCAAATTCCATTACTCTTCCGACAACTCAAATCGTCGCAAAAAATTACACTAGTGCTTTTTGCAACAGTAAGATCGTGACATCGACATGACTGGGAGCAAAGAAGAGAATGGCAGCAACAATAGCAATGACATCTCACATAGCAACAGTAGCACTAAGAAGTTGCCGAAGAACTGGGCGATAATTCTCGTCTACACCTACATTCACGTTTTAGGCATTATCGGATTGTACCTCTTGTTCACCAAGGTGAAATGGATGACGCTATTGTACTGTACGTATCGCAAAAATCGTCAACACTAAAAAATAAGTAATCTTATTCTTAGTGGAAATCCTCTTGTATGTGGCCTCAGGATTCCTCTAAAATCAAAAGGAAAATATTCCAACACTCAGAAAAAGAATTTCAATTGCACTGAGAAAAAAATATTTGAAAATTTATCTGTGTGTGTGTGAGGGGGGAGGAGATATAAAGTTTATTTCAATAGAGATAAACTTTATTTCAATAGAGATAAACTTTATTTTCACAGAGAAATAAACTTTATATATCACAAATGAATTTTCAAGTATTTTCTTTTTTAGTGTTTTCTCAATTCCTTTTCTTCAGTTTTTTTTTCAGTGTGCAAGGTACTATCCAAGCAGAAGAAAAAATCACGATGATGTTAAAATGATGTCAAAGTAACAAGAAAATAACTGAAAACCTCATTTTTCAATCACAATTCGATCATTTTCTTGTCACATTATCATGATTTTTTGTTTTTACTTAGGTATATTTTCTGTAATCCCATATTCTATGCAAAAATTCTTAACGGAATATTTCTCTTCTAATGAGGGAATAATCTTGAGGACATATATAAGAGGATTTCCGCTAGAAATAAGATTATATTTGGGGTAAAGTGTTTTTACACACACACATATATATATATATATATATATATATATATTACATATGCATACGAGTGCATTTCCCCTGTAATAGAATTTCCCTTCGCGCACTATATTTGCCGCGGTTCTCGTTTTCGAGAGATTTTTCTCGTAAATCACATGTGAAACAAGATGTAAATGTCAACCCGAGACGAATTTTTCGTCTTTTCGCGTTTCCCTGCTGCCATTTCAACAGCTAGTCTCATCACGCTGATGTCGCTTTTATCAAATACTCTATTGCTGTTTCCAGTTTTATTCCATGTTACGATCTCCTACGTCACAATTGGGGCTGTACACAGATATTACGCGCATCAAGCATTTATTGTTATTAGCGAGCTGAGATTTTTCCTCGTCTTGGCACACACCATAGCAGGCGTGGTAAGTGTGTCCTTCAGGTTTATATCCACGTCGTCCGACCGAACTGATCTTGTAATCCACTGAAATTTACTGATCATGAAATTTACCCATCATTAAGTCTGATTTGATCTTTTAGCTGTAGAGCTAAAATTTAGAATTTCCAACATTGCACACACGCGACATTGATCGCTCCTATATATTAAATGCAATCACATTTATTTCTCAGATAATCACATGTATTTCTCGACTTATGAGTTTCTGTTGATCGCGACAAGGAATATCACGATATTTCGCAAAAGATGCAATACAATTTTACGTGAACCATTCGAGATGATCAGAGATGTAAAAATTCGTCCGTTCGCAGGGTTCGATATACAAATGGGTATTCTGGCATAGAATACATCACTATTACCACAATTCTGACAGAGATCCGTACGATCATAGAAAGGGTTTCTTTTATTCTCACGTGTTGAGCAACTTACAATATGCGCCACCTGATCTGAAATTGTACTCCAAGAACATCGACATGCGCGACGTGGACTCTGATCGGTTCGTCTGGGTGCAACAAAAGTACGTTGTCACATCTTCTGTTCCGATGAAGAAGTCGATAGAACAGTTTCCCAGATGGAACAGAAAATTATGACAACGTCAAAATGATGAAGAAATGACCGAATCATAATCGAAAAGTGAATTTTGTAGTTATTTTCTCGTTATTTTGACGTCTGTAGTGGTGACATCTGCCGTCGTGTGCTTACATATTAGGTCAAACTGAACAAAAAAGTCCTTTGCCTTTTTCTTCATAACTTGATAGGTTTTAGTTGTTGATTAGATAACACTAATATATTATCGCGGGCGACCATCCGCCAATTCTCTTTAATTAATAAATTTAATTAATTAATTAAAAGTCTACAAAGTTATTAGAAAGATGGTAAAGAACTTTTTTGTTCAGTTTCATCTAATATACAAGCATACGATGGCAGACATCTACCATTACGGCTCATCTATCATTTTTCGCATGATTATTCACAAATCTCCTTTAATTAATATCTTGATAATTATTGCAAATATCACGAAACAATATTAAGCTTTGTGTTCATTTCAATCTGTACTTTCAATCACTTTCACAAGAGCTTCGAAGTTTGTATGAAAGACACCTTGTATATTCACTGTCAGAACTTACAAAGTGTTGCTAGATTTTTCAGTTTTACCTTTATAAATTTCTGGAGATTTCGAAATTCTACCGATTATATCGCATGCGTAATTTCTCATAGGATACCCGGTACATCAAATTGTTCGAGAAATATGTTCTCTTCTTTCAACATTTTATAAAATTCGCGCGAGAGAAAGACAAACCGACTTTCTAATCGAGTTGATCTTTTTATTAATACACGTCAAGATTGATCTTACAGAACGGCGTATTACAAATCTTATAGAAAGGAAACAAAGAATAAGGCAAATAAGAGCCGACTGCCGATCTTAAAGACGAAAATCACATAAAAATAAAACAACGTAAAATCAAAATAATTTAATAAAAGCTTGTGATACATTTTGCCTTTAAGATCGACAGTCGGCTCTTATTTGCCTTATTCTTTGTTTGCTTTGATCTCAAGAGCCTTTAACTTTTGATTTATACTTACAGAAAGATATAGTTAAATGTAAAATTACTCGTCACTTGCGAGTATATTTATTATTTGCATTTTACTATAATACTATTCCTACTACTATTGCGAATATTACTATTATTTATTACTGTTACTACTAATATATCGCAATTTGCTAAATCGACGTATGAGACAATCAGCAGACAAACTGATCAAATTCACTTTTCATAAATTTTCGAAAGCATAAGTTTTGAAATTTGCAATTCCATAAATATGCAAAGCTCTAATTTTTTAAATTTGTAATTCCACAAATGTGCAAAGTCATAATGTTTAAATTTGCATTTTTATAGATGTACAAAATCAATTTTTTTAAATTACAATTTCATAATTCCGTAAAAAAAAGACATGCACTAATCATGTGCTTTGATGCTAAAATCAAGGAATTATCAAAAAGTTGATCAACAAGACTTGTGTAATCAACGTTCTACTCACATCAGTATATTCAACTTATCAATAAATAATATATTGCAGATTTTATCACATACTCTTTTTCGTACTCGGATTACTACTGCCGATGTACGTGCCTGTGACATATTGGGATGAATCATTTTGGTACACGTTTTTCGTAATAGGCGCAACGCGCTTGATGATAACAACTCACATATCTTGGTTGGTGAACAGCGCCTTATCCGTCTGGGGTTTGCAAAAAGAAGACAGGCAAGCTTTTTATAATATCTTTCGTTACTATAAACTGTTGACCAATATGCCGAAAAGCCATGCCACTGTCGTCATTGACAGAGACGGTATACATTGTATGTAGTGTTTGACGTTTAAATATTATTTAACGTTACGTACGCATATATATAGCGTATCTCGTTAGTGTGTTCTTCGGTTCGAAACATCACACAAGAAATCTTATAAATATATTCCAAAATATCTCTCAGATATTGTAACGTTACGTTACTATATTTTGGTGAAAATCGCGAGATTTTGGCAAGTCTTACATATATGTTAAGAAAAAGATTAATAAAATCTTACGATAAGCGCTCTACAAGTTTCTTATATGTCGACAGCATTTCTTTTTCCTTTAATGCGATTATCTTTCTTCCTTATTTTTCCCGATTTTTCAACGTCTGTTTTTTTTTTGTTTGCATTTCAAAGTAATCTCTCTCTCTCTCTCTTTCTCTTTCTCTCCTTTTATTTGCCTTTCTCTTTCTGATGAATTTGCTCACGAATTTGCTTTCTGATGAATCTAACACTATGACAACCGTTTTTGTCGTTTATTTCAGATACCCTGTCAACGATAACTCCGTCTTCTTCTTGTCGAAATCATATTGGGCAAATTATCATTATATTATTCCATACGACTGGAAAAGTAACGAATTTGGTCTTTACGAAAATGGCTTCACCACGTTCATATTCAAGATATGGTACGAAATGGGGCTGATCGACGGAATGAAAACCGTCAACACCGAGGACGTACGGGAAACTCTTGAGAAAATCGCCATATCGAAGGTCTCGATAAAGAACGCTTTCGACGAGTTGAAGGAGAAGTCAGAGATAAACGCTTGTAAGCAGAGATTAATATATCGTCCCTAGACAAGCGAAGTTATGAGATATCAACTTGAAATACTTAATCACGTCTATTGCATCTAATTATGTCTAAATTCGTCTAACCATGTCTAAATAGCGAATTTTAATTAAAACGATAGAAAATCTTGAAAATTTCATAGAATCACTTGTATTTATTTAATTGACAATAAATTTGACAATAAATTAACGAGATAAAGTGGTGAGTTTGTTGAAAAATAAATAGTTCACCAGATATTTCATATCTTGGGTAAAGGTATAGAAAACAGGCGCCACCTCCGATGCGCTTGAGCTTGACATATGTCATAGAGGTCACCCTTCTGAGTGACTTTCTGAAGATTTTAGCCGTCACTCATTATTTATTAAAAAGTTATAAACAAAAGAAGTTACATAAAATGAGTGTACTTTTTGGACACTGTATATACAAAGACATCAAATTTGTAGGCTAGGAATGTGTCTGCCATTGTCCTAAGTAACATTCAAAAGGTTTGTTAAAAAGTTATTCACAAAAAAAGATACATTAATATCAACACCGAGTATATTAAATATAGTATGTAAATGGTGTCGATCCTCGGCACGTCGTCGATAGGAGCGGAAATCAGTTAGAGGAACGGTCGATCCTCGACACGTTCTCTGTACTTGAATGAACGGCGGCCGACTCTCGGCACGTTATTGCCAGTCATGTAATTTCTTTAACATTAATCGATTTCTCTGGTTATTTTGCGTAAAAAGTACTGAAGTATAATCATCGAAAAATAAATACTTTCCGAGATATTTTACGTTTTATTTTTATACTTTTTAGTACAAGATATGGTAAAGGTATAGAAAACAGACGTCACCTCGACATCAGGCTACGCCCCCCAGTTACACGGCTAGAGACAGACTTTTTTATTTTTACTATTTTCTATTTATAAAACTTCAAATGTAATAGGAACATACGCACATACCGCGACGCGCTTGCTAGCGAGCAGAGTGTGTGTGTGTAGCAGGCATCTTCCTAGCATACAAATTCGATGTTTTTGTATATACGTTGTCCAAAAATTACATTCATTTGATGCAACTTCTTTTGTTAATAACTTTTTAACTAACAACGAGCGACGGCTAAAATCTTTTAATTGTTACTCAGGGCCATGTCCTTAACAACATATGTCAAGATCAGGCTGATCGAGATGACGCCTGTTTTCTATATATTTACCATATCTTGTACTAAAAAGTATAAAAATAAAACGTAAAATATCTCGGAAGGTATTTACTTTGCGACGGTTATACTTCAGTACTTTTTACGCAAAATAACTAGAGAAATCGATTAATGTGAAATTACATGACTGGCGATGACGTGCTGAGGATCGACTGTCGTTCGCTCCTGTACAGAGAACGTGTCGAGGGTCAACCGTTCCTCTAACCGCTTTTCGCTCCTGGCGACGACGTGCCGAGAGTCGGCTGCCGTTCGCTCCTGTACATGCAGTGACACATGCGTATAAACTTAAGTCTTTGAGATTTTGTCCCGCACTGGGTGCTTACGATAACGAGATTAGAGCGAGTGAGATCTGGATCCGAGAAAATAGTATAATCTCCCATCTATAACTGTAATATTCTATGGTCTGCTCTTGCTCCTGCTCTTGCAGTCTCATGAACATAGGAGCAAATCAGGGGCTCGATTCTTGACGGTATGCAAAGATATGTAGTTCATTATACTGTAGATGTTACGTATACTGTAGATTTTCGCATGCGTATCTCATTCATACATCGTCAAGCATCGGGCTCCAGGAGTTCGTCTCATGAACAACCAAGGGTAATGTATCATATTTAAAGTGTATTAATATTTTATCTTCTTTATTTAAAGAATTATATAACATATTATTTCAATTTATTAATGATTTGAGATTCTCAAACTCTTCTTAAACGAGGACTGAACCTGTATTAATAATTATTACTTGAAACTTATCTCACGTCAGATGATCAGATTGCAATTATTTAAGATTGCAAAGAGCTTGATTAATTTATTTTAATTGAACCGTATGAAATACATGACATATTATATATAATCTTGATTCAACTGAAAAACTTACATCTAAGTATAAATTTAAGATAAAATATTAATACACTTTAAGTATGATACATTACCCAAGTAACACGTGTCGTTTAAGAAACGTTTTAGATATATTTTACAAACGATAATAAAACGTTACATACGTTTATAAAACGTATATAAAACCAACATGTGCTACCAGGGTACCCTTTATTATTCGTGAGACGAACTCCTGATCTGCTCTTGTGTTCATGAGACTGCAAGAACAAGAGCAAGAGCAGACCATAGAATATTACAGTTATAGATAGGAGATTATATTATTCTCTCGGATCCAGATCTTACTCGCTCTACTTTCGTTATCGTAAGCACCTACTGAGTAAAGCCAGCGACACACGATGCTTGTTTTCATGTTGAATTGCTTGCTGGATGGAAATACTCTATTCTGATTGGTGCATTTCTGAAGACGGACTAATCAGAATAGAGTATTTCCATTCAGTAAGCAATCCAGCACGAAAACAAGCATCGTGTGCCGCTGGCTTTAGACTACCTGGTGGGCTACCCAGACATCCCCTTATTGCCCAGAAGTTCAAATCTCCTACCCGGGTGCACTCTGTTACTAGAAACACTATAGTATATGTTACATATATTATAGCACTTCTAGTATTAGAGTGCACTCGAGTAGGGAATCTGAACGCAGCCCAGGAGTGAGAGAAACAAGCTTCAGAGAGTGTCCACAGAGAGAAGCATGAGAGCGGCCATCAGTCTGATTTCAATGGTCAGAGCTAGGCGCATTTTCGAGTTGCCATCTAACAAAGTGCGCCTTTACTACATTCATTAGACGCATTTTCGCGGTGGTAACGATAAAATTTGCCTGGTTCGTGCCCGTTGTATTTCAGTACAATGATAATAAGTTAGAAAAGGACATACGTCTAATCACTCTATTCTAGTCTCACCACTGATGAGCGGACCGCGCGACGTAGTCACGAGCTAGCGGCGATATTATCGCAAAACTAGATCATCTCTCATCAGTCTCGTCTTTCTCGCGCTGCGTTCTGCGTAATTTTGCAAGGAAAAAAGATTTGGAAACTGGACAATATAAAACAATAAATAAATGTACAAGCTTAAACATACCGCTTATATTTTTTGCTTATTTCTCGGCAACCACAAAAAATATCGATGTGATTCAAAGAAAATAAAGTTCTTCACAATTTATCCTGTTGGAATTCAGAGTTTACAATAATATTAATAATACTAATACTATAATAATACTATTAATAACGGTTCGTTAAATGCGAGGAAGCGTGCGTACTTTTTAAAGTCGCTGACAGCCTTTTTACTACTGATTGTAATTTTCGCACATTTCTCGGCAATCACCAAAGATATCAAGATGACACAAAGAGCACTATCTGCCTCACAATTCATCTCATTGGAATTGGTAGTTTATAATAATATAAATAATATCGGAGACTCGAAACACCTCGGTTCGAATCCCGGCTTAAGAAGATACCGGACCGAGCGACGAATTTAATAAGAGTCGATAACGTAGAGCGATCATCAAAAAGTAGAAAACGTTATCATCATTCACCAACGATATCGAATTTATGTACACATAGATACTTATGGAATAAAGACGATCGTCAAATAGGCGCTAACATAATACCGCTATCATCTTTTCACAAATGTTATGCAAGTGTGTGTGCTACGTTGACATTTCAATTTTCTTACACATAGACGTTACGTAAATGTGAATACTGCGTTGCCGATATTCTCTCCAAAATAGGCTCTTGCTACTTTTCTGATGAATTTTTCAAACTGCTTATGTATTAGGTGCATCAAAGAAAGAGCTTTTAGAGAAGAGTGTTGTAGGCATGAGCGTAGTTTGCGAATAATTTTTTGAAAAATACGTTATCTATTATTTGAGTTTTCAATATAATTAGCAACGGTAATTTGAAATATCATTTTCATTTCCCACTGACCAATGTTACACTTTATTTTCGCACGTAATTTTATTATATAAATTGGAGCAGTCAGTACGCTCTAATTTTTGAAAAATGAAATCAATGTCACGATAGCAATAGTTTTACATCGTTTTTATCTTTAAGGTAGGAATGCCCTATTTCATTCATGCACGTATTTTTACTATACAAAAGCATTTTTAATTTGGTCAAGTTAACACAAAGTAAAATTTGTTAGGAAATGTCGTTGACATAATATCGAATACCTGTGCAAAACTATTGTCTCGTGCTTATTCGACAAAATTCGACAAAATTAAAAAACTTTATACATGGTGAAAGTGCGTGCGAAAATGAAGCGGAGCATCCATCAATATGAGACGAAAACGGTAAGGAACAGGATATCAAATATTTCTGCAAAATTTACTTCTTTCTACCTGCGTCGAATTAAAAATCCTTTTGCATAGTAAAAGTACGTGCAAAAAAGAAGCAAAGAATCTCTCAATACGAGACGAAAACGATAAGAAATAGTTGCTACTGGGCGCGCTACTGAGGCAGCAGAGTGAAACGAACACGCATTGTAACCCAAGAGACGATATAGAATAAAATAAGCATATCAGACCTAATTTTTGAAAATACACAATTTCAATTGCGAATGTTTCTTTAAAAAACCCTAAAAAACTATCCCAGATTGCGTTCTATACGCTAACGCGACATAACCTATAACCTACCATGACATGGCCGACTTTAGGCCCATAGGACCACCGTGCGTGCGCGAGAACACAAATATAATGCTACTACGATGGATCTTACGTTATGGGCGCGATTTTGGGATATTGAAAAACTATTTTCAAGATACTGGGCGTGCTGCTGAGGCAGCAGAGTGACACAAACACGCATTGTGACCCAAGAAACGATACAGAACGGAATAAGCATATCTGATGTAATTTTCCAAAATACACATTTTCAATCGCGTATGTTTCTTTAAAAAACTCTAAAAAACTATCTCAGATTGTGTTCTATACGCTAACGCGACATAACCTATAACCTACCATAACATGGCCGACTTTAGGCTCATAGGACCACCGTGCGTATGCGAAAACACAAATATACTGCTACTACGATGAATCTAACGTTATGGGTGCGATTTTGGGATATTGAAAAACTATTTTCAAGATACTGGGCTTGCTGCTGAGGCAGCAGAGTGACACAAACACA